CTCACACACACACACACACACACACACTCTCACACACACTCACACACATACTCACACACACACACACTCACTGTGTAGCTCGTGTATATTGTGTGTCCTGCAGGCTGAGGATGAGGAGGGTTACCGGAAGCTCATTGACCAGAAGAAGGACAAGCGTCTGGCGTATCTGCTGCAGCAGACGGATGAGTATGTGGCTAATCTGACGGAGCTGGTCCGCGCTCATAAAGCTGTGCAGGCCCTGAAGGAGAAGAAGAAGAAGAAGAGGAAGAAGAAGAAGCTGGAGAACGCGGAGGGCCAGACGGGGGCTCTGGGGCCCGATGGAGAGGTGGGTTCAGCAGTAGGGTTACTTTGCTCAGGGTGTGAAGCGTCACAGTATCCAATATTTTTTAAAAGTCGTGAATGTCTGAAAAGTATGTGCAGCTCTGATCTAAAGGAGGCTTTGGTGATGATGATGATGTTTACAGCCCCTGGATGAGACGAGTCAGATGAGTGATCTTCCAGTGAAGGTGATCCATGTGGACAGTGGGAAGATTCTGACCGGAGTGGACGCTCCTAAAGCTGGACAGCTGGACACGTGGCTGGAGATGAACCCTGGGTAAGATGACAGTCGATCATGTGTGCTGCTGATGATTCGGTCATCTCCACTGACCTCTCTCTCTCTCTTCAGTTACGAGGTCGCTCCGCGCTCGGACAGCAGGGCCCTTCGGAATGAAGGATTTCGAAGGGTACAACTGATGTACACTTCGGGCTCCCATGATCCTTTGCGTAGATTCTTTGCGTGATGACGGCGCCTCCATGTGGGCAAGTGATGATGACGCAGAAGGGCACTTCAAGAAACATTTGTTTGGCTCCCTACACCCTTCAGCCCTTCGAAGCTCTCACTCCGGAGGGTAAATAGGGCGTAGGGATGAGCCCTTGCAAATGGAACACAGGGCTAATCAATGCACCCTTGCTATTGCATGTGAGTGTTTTTACAACATGATCAAAATAAAACGGTCATTTCCAGACAAAGCATTATGAAATTATTTACTTATGGTTTGTGATGCAGATCTAGCACCACTTCCTCTTTCAACAGATGTTTCTTTGTGACTCTCCATGACACTGTGCCTCGTTTACAAAACAAAATGCTCCGACACGATCCGGGACGCCATTAAAAATACATTGTCCACTTGTTCCTTACGCGGGGAAACTTCTGATATCTGTACAAAGACGCGAACGCTGTTTAAACCAAACGCATCAAAGCGAGCGTTCTTTCACTGCATTAGTCCTGATGACAGACTCGAGCGCTGGACTGTCAGAAAGAGAACCGCATCTGTTTACTGTATCCAGTGCAGACAAGATAGCGCAGTGATCCTGATTTCTATTTGCATTTGACACGATGCGACGCTAGCATTCAGCGTGATCAAGTGCTAGCCATTAGCGACTGAACGCCAGTGGGCGGTGCCTATGCTTAGAAGACTATTCGCCAATGTGCTGCTCTGGAGGCGGAGTTTATGCAAACGACTGCACACAGATGACGTCACCCTGCACCTCGGATCCAAAGAGCCGTTTTTGGAGCTCGATTAAATAAATGGTTCGTTTATAATGAGGAGGAGGTTTTAAGCTATGAAACTTGCAGGATGTTTTAGTGGTACAAAGACCTCTCATATGCCAAAAGATCATGGAAAACTTGATTTCTTATGTCACGATCCCTTTAAGAAAGAACTAAGAGAGCTCTAGGGATCACAAACAGCAATCAATCCAATCCTTATAAAACCATCCAAACGAAGAGATTTCAGACAGATGAAACAAACCCAACATGTTGAACGTGGGACGTTTTGACTGTTTCTCCACAGATCAAGGGTCTGGAGTGGCTGGTGTCTCTCTATAACAACAATCTGAACGGGATCCTGGCGGATGAGATGGGTTTGGGCAAAACCATCCAAACCATCGCTCTCATCACGTACCTGATGGAGAACAAGCGTCTGAACGGACCCTACGTCATCATCGTACCGCTCTCGTCAGTCGCAGCCTGTTTTTACATCAACTTTCATACTTCTGTATGTTCACACAGAGAGTCTGTTTGATGAACACTGTTTCTCTGACAGGACTCTGTCTAACTGGGTCTATGAGTTTGATAAGTGGGCGCCGTCTGTCGTCAAAGTCTCGTATAAGGTGAGCGACACACAGAGACGCATGATCTGGAGTAAATCTGAATCAGTCTTAGCTTATCATGTCAACAGGTAAACATGAAAATAACTGTTAATGTTGTAAAACTCATCAATTATGAAATGACGTCAGCAGCTGTACTGAAGACAGGAGTGTCACTTTAGTTTATATTGTGCTTGTGTTCTGCAAATACAGCAACTCTTAAGTCCTTATGATGTTTCTTATGTCGCTTTGAATAAATGTAAATGTTTTAAGGAAGTAAATGGTCAATTTCATGATGACCTTTCAGTGTAGTGAGCCTGTTCTGTTAGTAGTCCTCCCATAAACCCAAGCGCTGGTTTGATCATGTGATCGTGTGTTCAGGGATCTCCTGCTGCTAGAAGAGCCTTCCTCCCACAGCTGCGCAGCGGCAAGTTCAACGTGCTGATCACTACATACGAATACATCATCAAAGACAAGCATGTGCTGGCCAAGGTATGTGTGTGCCTCTGTGTGGTCACCTGTGACCTTTGACCTCGGTCAGACGCGCTGATGAGATCCTGTCACCTGACACAGATTCGCTGGAAGTACATGATCGTGGACGAAGGCCATCGCATGAAGAACCATCACTGTAAGCTGACGCAGGTGTTGAACACGCATTACCTGGCTCCGCGGCGTGTGCTTCTGACCGGGACGCCGCTGCAGAACAAGCTGCCCGAGCTCTGGGCGCTGCTCAACTTCCTGCTTCCCACCATCTTCAAGAGCTGCAGCACGTTTGAGCAGTGGTTCAATGCTCCCTTCGCCATGACCGGAGAGAAGGTCCGTCTGTTTAACTAGTGCTGAGCACATCTCTGACACCGAGCCGTTATCACAGACACACAGACTGATTATGAGTGCTAATGCTGCTTGTGTTAGCGTAGTAGCAGGTGTTTACTATGAAAGCATGAATCAGACTTTCAGAAATATGCTCAAACGCATACATTTTATTCACTGTAACTTGATTATTTATTACTGGAGTCATATGACTTTGCTAAAAATAACATTATTTTGTGTATTTATGTGTTCAAGTGGTTTAAGGTTAAAAAAACACATTATTTTCCACATACCGTACATTATTGTCCCGCCTTTCTGAAACGCGTCGATTTTTACGAAGCTCATTGGTCTGAAAAGCGAGGTGTGCTCTGATTGACCAGCTATCCAGTGCGCTGTGATTGGCCGAACACCTCAAGCGTGTGACAGAAATGTTACGCCCCTCACCATATTTAGAAACACACAGCATCGCCACGACAACAATACTACAGAGATAATAAAAGTTACGCCTTCTTTCTTTACGTAAACATTTGAGCGGTGTTATGCAAATCTTCCCACACAACGATGTAGATTTGCGGAGGTGCGTTTAAACGAGGCGTTTTAGGAAGGAACGGATGAGTCTTAACTTTTAGAAAGAATTTCTCTTTGGGTTTGAGACTTTAATCTTTGCGACTTTTCGGATCTTATCTATGCACGAACAGCTTGTAACACTCCAAAGACAAAGGAAAACTTGAAATCCCGTCGTATGACCCCTTTAAGAAAATAAACAGAGAAAAGCTAAAGTTAGTCATCGCTCAGGGATTTGACCGTTAAGGCCTGTCCACACTAAGAACAATAACTATAATAACTATTTTACTAGTTATCGTCCTCACTGGCGGTCAATAACGTTATGTTTATTATGAGCGCTTTAAATGCTTGAGCTCTTTAAAGGAGAAATATTATGCCCCTTTTTACAATATGTAATATAAGCCTCTGGTGTTCCTAGAATGTGTCTATGAAGTTTCAGCTCAAAATACCCCACAGATCATTTATTATATCATTTTGAAAATGCCTATTTTGAGTGGAAGCAGAAACACGCTGTTTTTCGTGCCTGTCTCCCCTCTGTCTAAAACGATCTGTTTTAAGGGGCAGTTCTTTAAGGCTTCTCAGTAATCAGACACTGTTGTGATTGGCTAACGTCACTGCATAGGAAACAGTCGGTGCGTTCCAAATGGGATATATCGCCCTCCGAAGAGCACTTCGGGGTGAAAACAATCATGGCCTCCATATTGAAGGGTCGTTCCAAACCGAAGTGCTCAAAACTGGCCACTTCAAAGGGCCCTTCGGAATGAAGGATTTCGAAGGGTACAACTGATGTACACTTCGGGCTCCCATGATCCTTTGCGTAGATTCTTTGCGTGATGACGGCGCCTCCATGTGGGCAAGTGATGATGACGCAGAAGGGCACTTCAAGAAACATTTGTTTGGCTCCCTACACCCTTCAGCCCTTCGAAGCTCTCACTCCGGAGGGTAAATAGGGCGTAGGGATGAGCCCTTGCAAATGGAACACAGGGCTAATCAATGCACCCTTGCTATTGCATGTGAGTGTTTTTACAACATGATCAAAATAAAACGGTCATTTCCAGACAAAGCATTATGAAATTATTTACTTATGGTTTGTGATGCAGATCTAGCACCACTTCCTCTTTCAACAGATGTTTCTTTGTGACTCTCCATGACACTGTGCCTCGTTTACAAAACAAAATGCTCCGACACGATCCGGGACGCCATTAAAAATACATTGTCCACTTGTTCCTTACGCGGGGAAACTTCTGATATCTGTACAAAGACGCGAACGCTGTTTAAACCAAACGCATCAAAGCGAGCGTTCTTTCACTGCATTAGTCCTGATGACAGACTCGAGCGCTGGACTGTCAGAAAGAGAACCGCATCTGTTTACTGTATCCAGTGCAGACAAGATAGCGCAGTGATCCTGATTTCTATTTGCATTTGACACGATGCGACGCTAGCATTCAGCGTGATCAAGTGCTAGCCATTAGCGACTGAACGCCAGTGGGCGGTGCCTATGCTTAGAAGACTATTCGCCAATGTGCTGCTCTGGAGGCGGAGTTTATGCAAACGACTGCACACAGATGACGTCACCCTGCACCTCGGATCCAAAGAGCCGTTTTTGGAGCTCGATTAAATAAATGGTTCGTTTATAATGAGGAGGAGGTTTTAAGCTATGAAACTTGCAGGATGTTTTAGTGGTACAAAGACCTCTCATATGCCAAAAGATCATGGAAAACTTGATTTCTTATGTCACGATCCCTTTAAGAAAGAACTAAGAGAGCTCTAGGGATCACAAACAGCAATCAATCCAATCCTTATAAAACCATCCAAACGAAGAGATTTCAGACAGATGAAACAAACCCAACATGTTGAACGTGGGACGTTTTGACTGTTTCTCCACAGATCAAGGGTCTGGAGTGGCTGGTGTCTCTCTATAACAACAATCTGAACGGGATCCTGGCGGATGAGATGGGTTTGGGCAAAACCATCCAAACCATCGCTCTCATCACGTACCTGATGGAGAACAAGCGTCTGAACGGACCCTACGTCATCATCGTACCGCTCTCGTCAGTCGCAGCCTGTTTTTACATCAACTTTCATACTTCTGTATGTTCACACAGAGAGTCTGTTTGATGAACACTGTTTCTCTGACAGGACTCTGTCTAACTGGGTCTATGAGTTTGATAAGTGGGCGCCGTCTGTCGTCAAAGTCTCGTATAAGGTGAGCGACACACAGAGACGCATGATCTGGAGTAAATCTGAATCAGTCTTAGCTTATCATGTCAACAGGTAAACATGAAAATAACTGTTAATGTTGTAAAACTCATCAATTATGAAATGACGTCAGCAGCTGTACTGAAGACAGGAGTGTCACTTTAGTTTATATTGTGCTTGTGTTCTGCAAATACAGCAACTCTTAAGTCCTTATGATGTTTCTTATGTCGCTTTGAATAAATGTAAATGTTTTAAGGAAGTAAATGGTCAATTTCATGATGACCTTTCAGTGTAGTGAGCCTGTTCTGTTAGTAGTCCTCCCATAAACCCAAGCGCTGGTTTGATCATGTGATCGTGTGTTCAGGGATCTCCTGCTGCTAGAAGAGCCTTCATCCCACAGCTGCGCAGTGGCAAGTTCAACGTGCTGATCACTACATACGAATACATCATCAAAGACAAGCATGTGCTGGCCAAGGTATGTGTGTGCCTCTGTGTGGTCACCTGTGACCTTTGACCTCGGTCAGACGCGCTGATGAGATCCTGTCACCTGACACAGATTCGCTGGAAGTACATGATCGTGGACGAAGGCCATCGCATGAAGAACCATCACTGTAAGCTGACGCAGGTGTTGAACACGCATTACCTGGCTCCGCGGCGTGTGCTTCTGACCGGGACGCCGCTGCAGAACAAGCTGCCCGAGCTCTGGGCGCTGCTCAACTTCCTGCTGCCCACCATCTTCAAGAGCTGCAGCACGTTTGAGCAGTGGTTCAATGCTCCCTTCGCCATGACCGGAGAGAAGGTCCGTCTGTTTAACTAGTGCTGAGCACATCTCTGACACCGAGCCGTTATCACAGACACACAGACTGATTATGAGTGCTAATGCTGCTTGTGTTAGCGTAGTAGCAGGTGTTTACTATGAAAGCATGAATCAGACTTTCAGAAATATGCTCAAACGCATACATTTTATTCACTGTAACTTGATTATTTATTACTGGAGTCATATGACTTTGCTAAAAATAACATTATTTTGTGTATTTATGTGTTCAAGTGGTTTAAGGTTAAAAAAACACATTATTTTCCACATACCGTACATTATTGTCCCGCCTTTCTGAAACGCGTCGATTTTTACGAAGCTCATTGGTCTGAAAAGCGAGGTGTGCTCTGATTGACCAGCTATCCAGTGCGCTGTGATTGGCCGAACACCTCAAGCGTGTGACAGAAATGTTACGCCCCTCACCATATTTAGAAACACACAGCATCGCCACGACAACAATACTACAGAGATAATAAAAGTTACGCCTTCTTTCTTTACGTAAACATTTGAGCGGTGTTATGCAAATCTTCCCACACAACGATGTAGATTTGCGGAGGTGCGTTTAAACGAGGCGTTTTAGGAAGGAACGGATGAGTCTTAACTTTTAGAAAGAATTTCTCTTTGGGTTTGAGACTTTAATCTTTGCGACTTTTCGGATCTTATCTATGCACGAACAGCTTGTAACACTCCAAAGACAAAGGAAAACTTGAAATCCCGTCGTATGACCCCTTTAAGAAAATAAACAGAGAAAAGCTAAAGTTAGTCATCGCTCAGGGATTTGACCGTTAAGGCCTGTCCACACTAAGAACAATAACTATAATAACTATTTTACTAGTTATCGTCCTCACTGGCGGTCAATAACGTTATGTTTATTATGAGCGCTTTAAATGCTTGAGCTCTTTAAAGGAGAAATATTATGCCCCTTTTTACAATATGTAATATAAGCCTCTGGTGTTCCTAGAATGTGTCTATGAAGTTTCAGCTCAAAATACCCCACAGATCATTTATTATATCATTTTGAAAATGCCTATTTTGAGTGGAAGCAGAAACACGCTGTTTTTCGTGCCTGTCTCTTTAAATGCAAATGAGCTTCTGCTCCCCGCCCCCTTTTCCAGAATAGAGCTGCGCCATTACAGCTCGTACCTGCTAAAAACATCTGTTTTGGTTCTGATTATCATGTTTATCGTGCTGAAATCATGCGTTTTAAACCATATTAGTTTAAACTTCTGATATAAAGCCTGTGTTATACTTTCCGTGTGCGCAATCCAGACGCGTACATGGAGAGCGTGGACGCAGACTACTTGTATTTATACTACTGAAAGCATACGCTGATGGTCCACTCCGCGGACGTGTTCCATACATGCGCAGTAGATCGGCTTGAACAGTAAACAAACATGTGAACAAACAATAACAAACTAGAGGCACATAACTCTGAAGTAATCAATTTAGGTAAAGGGCTGCAGAGCCAGTGGTGGTTTTGTAGGCAAACATTAATGCCTTGAATTTCATGCGAGCAGCTACTGGTAGCCAGTGCAGATTGATGAACAGAGCTATGATGTGCATTATTTTCAGCTCATTAAAAATTAATCTTGCTGCTGCGTTCTGGATGATCCTAGAGGATGTCAACCTGACATTTCATTTACATTCACACATTTGGCAGACAATCTTATCCAAAACAACTTAAATTGCATTCAGTCACATCATACATTTTTATGAATTCATGCTTTTCCTGTCAATCAAACCCATGATTGTGGCGCTGCGCTTTACAGGCACGAAACGTGAAGTTGCCAATCAAAGCAAAGTAGTGGAATTCATTTAAATCTACCTCTATGTTCACATGATTGTGATAAAACAAACTAACCAGTGTGATTCCATCCTGAGCCTTTAATGTGTGATTCTGCTCGTCAAGACACGCTGGGAAATGAAGAGCAGTAGTAGACGTGACTGATGTGTCTCTCAGGTGGATCTGAACGAGGAGGAGACCATCCTGATCATCCGCCGCCTGCACAAGGTGCTCCGCCCCTTCCTGTTGCGCCGGCTGAAGAAGGAAGTGGAGGCGCAGCTGCCTGAGAAGGTGATTCTGATGCAGTCTGTCTGTCATCGCCTCGGACAGATGAAGCATTGTGCTGTTTTGTGTCTGTGTGCAGGTGGAGTACGTGATCAAGTGTGACATGTCTGCGCTGCAGAGGGTCCTGTACCGACACATGCAGGCCAAAGGAGTGCTGCTGACCGACGGCTCAGAGAAGGACAAGAAGGTGAGCAAGAAGAGCTCTCTGGAGATCATGTTCAGTCTGTGTGCTGTTGGATGTCTCGGGGTAAAGGTGTGCGTTTGAACGTGTGTTTCAGGGTAAAGGCGGCACTAAGACTCTGATGAACACCATCATGCAGCTGAGGAAGATCTGTAATCATCCGTACATGTTCCAGCAGATCGAGGTGTGTTAGTGTGTCTGTCGTGGTGTTGGTCATCTGATGAACGTGTTTCATTTCTTGTGCCGCTGAACGTGATGTGCTGCTTTTCAGGAGTCGTTTTCTGAGCATCTGGGTTTCTCAGGAGGAATCGTTCAGGGGTGAGCAGTAGAAATGCTGTAGAATTATCTGACACACATTAGACGTCTCCAGCACTGAACCTTCGTCTCGTCTGACCTGCAGGCTTGATTTATTCCGCGCCTCGGGAAAGTTTGAGGTGCTGGATCGTATTTTGCCCAAATTACGAGTGTCCAATCACAAAGTGCTGCTCTTCTGCCAAATGACCACTCTGATGACCATAATGGAGGATTATTTCGCTTACCGCAGCTTTAAATACCTGCGTCTGGACGGTGAGCTTGTGTTTCTCTGTGTTTGTCTGTAGTTTGTGAAGTATAGCAGGATTATGATTATTATTGCTCATGATGATCTGCACAAACCTCGTCCTGCAGCGTCTGGATGACTCCTCAGAGCATGTGTGTGTCGAGGCATCTTCACTAGAAATCACACACTGTTTTCATCTGGTATTCACGAGTTCGCACTTACATATAATCAGATTGAGTGAATACAAAGCATATTTGGTGTGCTGTCTGAGGGGGGCGGGGTTCATATTCCTGAGCTCAGAATATATCCAAACCCATCCCGAGCATATAGGAATAATTAGGAGGGACGCTGGAAAACTGTCCTGACACCAGGATATGATTGAGACATGAGCCTCTATTGACTTAGTTAGAATTAGTTACACTACTAATTACATTACTTTACAACATTTACATTACTAACAATATATTTCTGCCTCATCATTTGACCAAAATCCACACTGGATCGCAGTCAGAACTCCGAAGTGATTACGACACTCAGTGGTGATTGATAGTGACGTTTAAGTAAAAGTGTTGTATCAATCTCATTAATTGTCATGTGTAGCTTGTAGCTAATTGTAGCTATAATTTCTCTGTTGCCCATATACAGTTATATTCCACAATGTATTTTATCAAAGGAAATCACGTAAGTTCATAAGAAATTGTTTCGTTTTCTAAAATGATTTTATACAATTTATATCGGGATCAGAGGGATGAGTCAAGTAATGCCAGATCATCTTTCTCCTCACAAAATCAATGTAATGGCAATATTTCCATCCGCTGAATGTAAGCTTTTCCATATTCCAAGTTTGCCTGCTGCTCTGGTGACTTCATGCATTCACGAGTTGTGAAAATTATGAATATAAATCTAGGAATTATTGGATTATTTGATTTCAAATCAGTAGGTGTTTTATGGATGGTAACTGTAATATGATTACTGAAATCTTAATATTAGTAACACTAGTTACTGCCCAACACTCAGGAATATGTTAAAGACGTGGGAACCGGTCGGGCCGACTCCATCATCGTGGCTGGCAGCGGTTACTCAGAGAAGACTAGTGCTAGAAATTATGTTTGTGTGTTTTAGGCACGACTAAAGCAGAGGATCGTGGGATGCTGCTGAAGACCTTCAATGATCCGGCCTCTCAGTGCTTCATATTCCTGCTGAGCACCAGAGCGGGTGGACTGGGCCTCAATCTGCAGAGCGCAGACACCGTCATCATATTTGACAGCGACTGGAACCCTCATCAGGTACCCTTCATCCTCCTCATCCTCCTCATCCTCATCCTCAGCTGGCTCCTCTGATGCTCTCGGTCTGCAGGACCTCCAGGCGCAGGATCGAGCGCACCGCATCGGACAGCAGAACGAGGTGAGGGTTCTGCGGCTCTGTACCGTCAACAGCGTCGAGGAGAAGATCCTGGCGGCCGCTAAATACAAGCTGAATGTGGACCAGAAGGTGATCCAGGCCGGCATGTTCGACCAGAAGTCGTCGAGTCACGAGCGCCGAGTGTTTCTGCAGGCCATTCTGGAGCACGAGGAGCAGGACGAGGTCAGGACTTTCATTGGGCTCTACATCGACCTTGTTTACATGAACTAGATAGACTATTCCAATATTAAAGGGGTCATGACATGAGGAATCAAATTTCTCTTGATCTTTTGACACAGAAGAGGCCTTTGTATGCTTAATACATACTGCAAGTTTCAGAACTTAAAATGTCCTCATCAATAAAAAAGAAAGAATCTATGTAAATATCATAAAACGGCTCGTTTGGATCCGAGGTGCAGGGTGACGTCACTCGGTCACAGTCATTTGCATAAACACGCCTCCAGAGCAGCACATCAACGAATAGTCTTCTTCTCAGCATAGGCTCCGCCCACTGGCGTTCAGTCGCTTAAAGGGATAGTTCACCCAAAATGAAAATTCTTCGTTCATCTTCAGAACACAAATTAAGATATTTTTGATAAAATCCGAGAGCTCTCTGACCCTCCATACACAGCAATGCAACTGAAATGTTCCCAGGTCCAGAAACATAGCAAGGAGATCGATAAAACAGTCCATGTGACACCAGAGGTTCAACCGTAATTTTATGAAGCTACGAGAATACTTTTTGTGCGCAAAGAAAACAATAGTAACATAATTTACTCAACAATTCCGTAATGGAGAGTACCCCAGAATATAATCAACATAATGAGCGTTGTTTACGTTCAGTAGAAAGCGCGTGCATGCTGAACGTAAACAATGCTGATTACGTTGTAAAAACACTCACATGTAATAGCGAGAGGCGTTGATAGTTTCCTATGCAGTGACGTTAGCCAATCACATCAGTGTCTGAGAAGCCTTAAAGAACCCGCCCCTTAAAACAGATCGTTTTAGACACAGGGTCAGAATCAGGCTTGAAAATGATCATTTTCCACATATTTATTAGGTTTTTTTTGTGCAAAAAACTTTATTAACGTTACCTCAAGAAACATATTAAAATAATTAAAAAAAAACTATGTCATGACCACTTTAAATGGAATTTGCTTTAGTTTTATTAACGAATGCGTCATGAAAACTGCCGTAAACTGATTTAATCAAGTCCCAATGAGGCTGGTGTTGTATGATATTATCCTGAATATTGGGTCATGTAAACCTTATTCAGAATATCAACTCTAACAGTATTTTGCACGTCCATACAAACTGATTCTAGGAGTTACAAGGAAACTCAAAGTTTTAAGATGTCAAAAACATTTTGGAAGAGATTTGTCTCACAAACATAAGAAAAAGTGAGAATGAAATGAATCGCTATAAAGATGGGTTTGCAAATGTTTACAAAGGTTTGTGAGGCCAGTTTTGTGCATAAATATAATAACATGGTTTTATAATGATCTGATGATAATGAGAGCATCTCCAGGATTGAGCGAGAGCCTTGTTTTGTCAGAATATACTGTACAGATCAGCTCGTCTACAGGAATATCCTGGAAGCTGTGAAGCATCAAAACCTTAATGTAAACCTGTCTTCTCTCTGTTCTGTTCGTCTAAAGCTCTTCTGATTGCTTGCGTCTGTTTCTCCGTCAGGAAGAGGACGAGGTGCCGGACGATGAGACCGTAGATCAGATGATCGCCAGGAGTGAGGACGAGTTTGACCAGTTCATGGTCTCGTTTCACTTTCTCTCGCTTATGTTTGTCAGCCTCGATCACCAAATCCAGATCGAATCCAAATTAACTTCCACTGTCTCTGTGTTTCTGCGCAGCGCATGGATCTGGATCGCCGCCGCGAGGAAGCACGCAATCCGAAGCGAAAGCCTCGTCTCATGGAGGAGGACGAGCTGCCCACCTGGATCATGAAAGACGACGCCGAGGTGGAAAGACTCACCTGTGAGGAAGAAGAGGAGAAGATGTTCGGCCGCGGCTCCCGTCAGAGGAAGGAGGTGGATTACAGCGATTCGCTCACAGAGAAACAGTGGCTGAAGGTCAGACAGACGCCTCATTCATCAGCTTGTCTTCCTCTGCTGGACACTCCTGATCCATCCCTCTGTTCTCAGGCGATCGAGGACGGGACCCTGGATGAGATCGAGGAGGAGGTGCGCCACAAGAAAACGTCTCGTAAGAGGAGGCGCGATCGGGATCCGGACGCCATCCCGTCCACTTCAGGCGTTCGCGGGGGACGAGAGAGAGACGACGACGGCAAAAGACAGAAAAAACGAGGTCGCCCGCCGTCCGAGAAGCTTTCGCCAAACCCTCCGCCGCTCACCAAGAAGATGAAGAAGATTGTGGACGCTGTTATTAAATATAAGGAGAAGTGAGTGTCTGAGTGGTTTCCAGTAGAGGCTGAGGAAAGTACAGGCCAGTGCTGAGACAGATGGTAAAGTAGGACAGCTGATGGTTCTGGACCTGGGGACGGTTCTTGTGTCTTCAGGTGTTTCTTGTGAACATGGTTTTGCGTGTCGCTCACAGAACACAGCAGATCCTCCTGATGCTGAAGAGCAGGGCCATGATGATGTTGATGATATTGAGCACTAGGTCTGTAACAGCAGGTGTTTTCTCACGTTTGTAATCGGACTGAAAAGCCTTCATGTAAACACCTGAAAGGTGCTGTATATAGGATTGACATCGAGTGGTTGAACTAGGTATTGCAGTCCAAATTCAAAATATTGGAGAGGGTTTTTTTACCCGGCCCCCCCTCCTCAGACGTGAGGCACACACAGGTTGCCAGATTGACCACACAACAGGAACGAGTGCACTTGACGATGAATGAAATGAAATACGCTGTGTTTTCCGCCAACTGGCAACCCGGGGTGCCGAAATACAATTGGGTAAACTGGCAGTGGGTGGGTTAAACAGACCAAAACAAAGACAGACATTCCGACCCGGAACGCACATTTTCAAAGGAGAATAACTGACTGTAGCATTGTTTTTCAGATAAACAAGTGTGTTAACTTGGCATGTTTCTTAAATATCTGCAAACATATTATGGTATTTTTATGCTTTAGTAGAGTCAAAAACTTACATACAGCACCTTTAATCGATCCGATTGAGCTTGATCCGAACTAAATTTTGACCAGATTAAAAGGGGTGGTTTATTCCTTTTCTAATACAATTGAGAGCGCATGTAAACGCTTGAATGAAACTGAAACTGAAATGACTGCGCATGTGCAATGATAAAGAATAGCGTAAACGCGCGGAACGAGCAGTTCTTCTGTTGAATAACTGCGTGTCCTGTCATTATAAAGCTCTCCCTTCACTCTGCAACTGTGAAGTGGAGCAAGACAACGTCCCACCAGTCCTGGTTTCGGATTCTCATCCACAAACCACAGGTTTTGGGCTCGGGGAGGGCGTTTTACTGCGTGATAAATATAAAGAAAGTGACGTGACATGTGGCCAAGTATGGTGACCCATACTCGGAATTAGTGCTCTGCATTTATCCCATCCAAAGTGCACACACACAGCAGTGAACACACACACACACCGTGAACACACACCCGGAGCAGTGGGCAGCCATTTATGCTGCGGCGCCCGGGGAGCAGTTGGGAGTTCGGTGCCTTGCTCAAGGGCACCTCAGTCGTGGTATTGAAGGTGGGAGAGAGCGCTGTACATTCGCTCCCCCCACCTACAATCCCTGCCACGACCTTTAGGTTACGAGTCCGACTCTCTAACCATTAGGCCACGACTTCCCCAGCACAGCATAACAGGGTTTATACCTATATTTATCCAGAAATGGGTAAATATTAATTCTGCTGTTTAAAACATAAAGAAACGGTGTAAGAGTGTTATTATGTGCAAAAGTGAGAAACTCTATATTTGTGCAGTGTGCGCATGTAAAAAAAAATCAGTTGTAATTTGAAGCTTGTGACATATAAACGCGCACATCAACCCGATCACTTTATCTAGCGTTCATGTAAACACGACATTCAGATTCATGAATCGCAATGAATTCAGTCCGATTGAAACAAAAATTGTGCATGTAAACACAGCCACTGTCTGATTGTTTCTGGAGGCTCTGGTCCGTCAGTGAAGGTTTGGAGGACGGGTTAGAGGTCAGCTGAGAGCAATTATTCCTCACTAAACCTCCGTGACTGATGTGTGTTTGTGTCGTGATGTTCTGAATGTTAGTAACGGCCGTCAGCTGAGCGAGGTGTTCATCCAGCTGCCGTCACGCAAGGAGCTGCCCGAGTACTACGAGCTGATCCGCAAACCTGTGGACTTCAGGAAGATCAAGGTGAGCGAGTGGATCGTGAACACAGTCAGCGTCTGTGAGCTCAGGCTTCATTCTGCTGTCGTCTGTGTGTGAGCAGGAGCGCATCCGGAGCCATCGATACCGCAGCCTTAACGATCTGGAGCGAGACGTGATGCTGCTGTGCCAAAACGCTCAGACCTTCAACCTGGAGGGATCACTGGTTAGAGTCACACTCACACACACACACTCTCACACACACACACTCTCACACACTGTGTGTGTCAGATCTATGAGGACTCTATCGTGCTGCAGTCGGTGTTCACCAGCCTGCGTCAGAAGATCGAGAGAGAGGAGGAGAGTGACGGAGAGGAGAGTGAGGAAGATGAAGAGGACGAAGGCTCGGATTCAGAGAGTCAGTCAAATAAATGCAAAAATGCATGACAATGTGTGAATAACTGTTAGCTGGACGCCACCTGTAGAGAGGAACTGCTGACCGTGTGTGTGTGTGTGTGTGCGTGTGTGTGTGTGTGTGTGTGTGTGTGTGTGTGTGTGTGTGCGTGCAGCTCGATCCGTGAAGGTGAAGATTAAACTGAGCCGTAAGGACAGAAGCACAGAGTGCGGCAGAGGACGCAGGAGAACTGCGAGAACACGAGCAAAACCTGTCGTTAGTGACGACGACACAGATGAGGAGCAGGAGGAGGTGACAAACACACACACACTCACACATACATACATACACACACACACACTCACACATACATACACAAACACACTCACACATACATACATACACACACACACACACTCACACATACATACATACATACATACATACACACACACACACTCACACACACACACACATACACACTCACACTAACATAAAATCACACACAGACACTTACGATTGCACACACACACAAAATATTGAGTCACATCAAACGATGTTAATGATGCGCAATTGTGCGTGTTGTTTACATCGTGTGTGTGTGTGTGTGTGTGTGTGTGTGTGTGTGTGTGTGTAAAGACACGAAACGATCGGATTGACACTCCTTTTTAACAGGAGATTTTAGATAGTGTGTCAGTGGTCCATTTGAGAGATAGGTGGCGGTAATGCACTTATAAGTCTGCGATCCGCCATAAAGCAAGAAGAAGAAGACAACCCGACATGCGCCGGCTGTTGAGAACGGGCTCAGAACAGTTCAGACATTGTGTGAATCAGAGGTAAAAAACGATATAAATACTGTTCAGTTTCTTGCACAGACCGATCGTTTCGTGTCTTTACACATCAGTGTATCGTCACGAGCCGCAGGGTTTAATTCGGTTTTGTTTGTGTATGTTTTTTTGACTCTCAATGCCGTGACTCCCGTTCACTTCCATTATATGACTGACAGACTGCAACGGTTTGAGTTAAAAATCTCAGTTTGTGTTCTACTGAAGAAACAAAGTCACCTACATCTTGGATGCCCAGAGGGTAAGCAGATAAACATCACATTTTCATTTTTGGGTGAACTATCCCTTTAAGGCCGTTCTCAAACTGACCTGACGTTCACACTTACATGAACTTGAGTGAAAGGGTTTGGAGGGTTCTTGCAGACAGAAGCGCTCTGAAACATCATGTAAATGTGAACTCACGCTGGATCACATGCTCGTGTAAACACAAACGCGTTCTTATCCCTCATTAACTCGAGTAACGGACAGATGCTGACCAGATCTCGAGCAGCAGCCGGTGAACGGCTCATTGAGAGACTGAATCTCTGTCCGTTTGCGTAGATTAACGTTTTGTTTGAGCGTTTCTGTTTATTGATGTTAAAGCAGTGTTTATTCTCTGCTCTGGCCCTGCAGAGTTCAGCTTCGAGCCTCGTCAAACACACCTGAACAAACTAATCAAGGTCTGCAGGATTACAAGAGAGTTACAGTCAGGTGCGTTTGATCAAAGCTGGAACTGAGCTCTGCAGGAGCCTCTATATCTATAACTCTGTTTCTGCTGTTTTGACGGCTGATCTGCTCCGTTACTGTATGAATCATATTATTCCTGAAGTTTCTAGCAGCTCTTTAATGGCATGTGCTCTTACTGTAGTGAATGTATGTTTGTGTGTAGATGAAACCCAATAAACATCACCACCTCATGTCTGTGTTTGTAGTTGTCCATGGTATTTTCTCTGATATACAGAATGAAACGCTCAAAGTCTGACCTAATGTGGGTGATGTGGTCTGGTCTGGATCTCAGGTGGTTTTCCAGCTGATCCTGAAGGTGTGGGTTTTGTGTAAGCCAGCCAGATTCAAATCATTTCCCTTATGAAAATTAACCATGGTTTTATTGTAGTAAAAGTGAAGTAACCATGTTTTTTTTATTTATTACTAATTACCATTTGTATAACCACAGTTTTACTACAAATAGCATGGTTAAACTATGGTTAGTGTAGTAAAACCGTGGTTAATTTCTGTAAGGGTTCTAAATGCCGTCTGTCACGCTGGAACTGAGAACAAACCTCCACAAACTGCTGTATTAAACTCTGAAGCACCAAAACCTCTGGAATATATGTATGTTTAGAATTAAATTTGGACCTTACAGGAATTACTGAAACACAAACACACTCACAGTGTACTGCACGAACATTTGGAGTGTATCTGCCAGACTGGTGATTTTGTGTAATACAGCACAATAACCACTAGGTGGCAGTCATGAACCGTTTTAGCGAGTTCACTGCAGATTTCGAGGAAAAGTGGGAATGTTTGGATTTACATCTGAAACAAACAGTGGATGTGATGATCATGTTGTTCTCACATCAACACTGAAGAGAAACACTTCTGAAATCTGTTTTGTTGCCAAATGAATTTAATATCACTGCTGCAGCTCATGTCACTGAAGGGATGAAGATGATGATGATGAAGAAGAGTCTCTGTATCTCTCCACATCTAAACACAGAAGGACATCAAATTGGCTCATTTTCACCAAACTCTTGTCTATTAAGCACAAACACGTTGAGTGTGATTTAAACTGATTCACAGTGTTTTTGACTCGTGTAACATAAGACGTGATCGTGGAAGAGCAGTGTATCTGATATACAGTTCTGAGCCCCCGGCTCTTAATGCATCGTATTCCTTCTTGAGTGAATGTCAGTGAATGCTTCCATTTTTTATAATAGCTGTGTTTGAGTCCCTCAATTGTCCTCAGTGTGAAAAGATGGATCTCAAGATCATACGCTCTGTTGGAAAGGGGTCAAACACACAAAACATGCTGGGGGATTTTTCATGAACAACTATCACAAAACATAAAAACAGCTGTGGATCATCAGGTAACGACACGCAGTATTACGATTAAAGGGTATATGTGAACAGTTTTCAGATCATTTTTATAAATTCAGCTATTATTTTGTCTTGGGGTATATATACACATAAGGGTCAATTTTTTTAAATTGAGAATTTTTGAAGCTGAATAAATAGGGTTAGGGTTACTTTCCATTGATGTATGGTTTGTTAGGAGAGGCCAATATTTGGCCGAGATACAACTATTTGAAAATCTGGAATCTGAGGGTGCAAAAAAATCTAAATATTGAGAAAATCATCTTTAAAGTTGTTCAAATGAAGTTCTTAGCAATGCATATTACTAATCAAAAATTAAGTTTTGATATATTTACGGTAGGAAATGTACAAAATATCTTCATGGAACATGATCTTTACTTAATATCCTAATGATTTTTGGCATAAAAGAAAAATCTATAATTTTGACCCATACAATGTATTGTTGGCTATTGCTACAAATATACCCCAGCGACTTAAGACTGCTTTTGTGCTGCAGGCTCACAGATGTGTAATAGCTTATTGAGGACAGTTCTAAATCAAATAAAAAAATAACAAGCCATTTTGGTGATCCCTATTATGTTGTTAAAATTATTATAATTCCGCAAGGGGTTTGTAAAGCTATGAGCGAAGCTGCATTGGTCTTCGGGATCTTCATGAGTCTTGTTTGTGAACACTGGGGTCAAGCTGAAGTGACCCTCACGGGTTCCTGTTGAACTAGAGAAGTTTCTGCTGTAATCATTAACAGAGTCGACTCACAAGCGCTCTTTGTGAGGGGAGATCTTCTGAGGCGAGGTTTCGCTCATTCCTGATCTCATCCAACAGACATTTCAACATTCCTCCCATAGTTCAGTGTCTCTCACATACACCTGTCTGTGACCCTCGTCCCATTCATATGTAATGAGGTGCAATGATTGTTTTTGACTTTCAGGATATCACATTTGCAAGCTTTAAACATGCAAAATAACACAGGCATATCTGAGCTCTGATATCCAGCGAGCAGTGTTGGGAAGGTTACTTTGGAAATGTAATAGGTTACAGATTACAAGTTACCCCCAGCGAGTAACTTCATCTGTTAGTGGAGGCCCGTGGAAACATCATTTCCCTGCATCTACAAACACGATGCTAATCCTGTCCCCTCCGCTTGAGCTGGAGTGTGTTTATGTGTGTGACACTGTTTCAGTTTTAGATTCTAGGATTTCATGCTTTGCTGATGACATTATAAACAGCAGGTGATTTGTGAAGGCTTTATATTCTATGCAATATGATTCAGCTTAAGCTCACTCATGTCCAGTCCTCATTTCTGGGAAACATTTTTGTAAAGTGCAATAAGTATTTATCTCTTATTTTGAAGGAACAGGGACATTCTGAGTATTTGTCCGGTGGTTTCACAGTAAGGAGTCGTTTTGGCCCCTGAGGGACCGATTCATGGACTCGGGGGTTTCAGGAGCCATTCGGTCTCCTGGATTTATATACTGTGACTTCTATCTGCCCCGGCCTCATGTGAATGATATTAGCCAGCTATGTTCATGATGTGAGATGAAGCACAGTGTGTGCTTGTCACGTGTGTGTATTTCCAACACGTGTGTAAGTCACAGCAGCCGCTTCTCACAGAGTTAAAAACAGATGCTCAGATACTGCTGTGTCTCATTCATGATCTTATCTCCGCGAGGAAGCGCCCCGTGTGTAAACTAATATAATGATAAGAGAGCCAGCCGCGAGGCTCCGCCCACAGCGGTGACGTCCCTCATTTCAAATGTCACACCACTGCAGAGCCACGCCCCCCGCGGCTTCATTCAAATGGCTGGGATCTGCCCCGGCCCGGTCACTGCTCACGGGAGTGCGGTAACGTTATCATCATCGTAGAGATTCGCTGCTAATACTAGAGTATCTGTGATCGATCAGGTGATGGAGATTCGGATCAGCGCTCGGCTCGGAATCATCTGCTCGGTTCTTCTGCTTCACTGTGTCCACGAAACCCGTAAGTGTCCGTTGTGATGAGGATCTGCTTCTGTGTGTGTTTAGGCTTGTTTCACAATTCAACGATTTCTTCTGTGCTTGGCTTCTTCTTTCTCGGGGTTTTCCGATGTTGTTCAAACTCTTGCTGTTTTTGGTTTGTTCTGTAATTAAACCGCTGACGCTGTCCGGGGGGTTATCTCGGGGTCTGTTAAACAGTGTATATACATGTTTATGTCGGTGTTTTATTGCTGGATCGCGTCAGTCTCGTTACTGTCAAGTAAACGCGCTCCCTGATTGGCCGCTGCTGAAGCACTTGCGCGCTGCTGTCGCTGATTGGTCGGACGCGCTAATCAGCTACTTGAAATTCTGCTTCTGATTGGTCGGTTTCGGCAGGATGGCAGTCAGGTGTGATCAGAGATTGGTGCAGGTGTGTAGATCATCAGCTCTGAGGGGGGCTTTGTTGTGGACACGCTGGAGCTCCACAGGAAGTTCGACAGGAAGTGGTTTGTCCAGCCAGACACACACCTGATCCCGTCACGCCCAACACAATCCCTCCATCAGTCACTGTTAGTCTGTCAGTAAAACACACACACACACACACACGCGCTGATGTTTTGCTGGTTAAACACTGGAGCACCTGCTGAGTGTTTGGACTCACTGCTGTGAGATATTGAGAAACACAGACACTTCTGCACATTTACTGGAACAGAAGAGAGAGAGAGTTTATTTCCCTTTTATTTACCTGTCTGTTTGTTTAATATATTTACTGCTTTGGCAACATTGTGATATATGATACACAGTCATGCCAATAAAGCTCATTTGAATTGAATTGAATTGAATTGAACTGAGAGCGAGATCTGGTCTGTATCTGTTTTAAGGAGTGAAACTCTCTTTCTAACACACTCTGGTTTGTTTTTGGGACTCTCCATAGGCATAATGGTTTTTATACTATTTATAATTTTCTATCTCCCTACCCCTAAACCTACCCCTCACAGGAAACTTTCTGCATTTTTAGCTTAAAAACAAAACTAATTCTGAATGATTTATAAGCCTTTTGAAATATGGGGACACTCAAAATGTCCTCATAAATCACCTTCTCGTTGTAATACCTATGTCATTATACAAATTTGTGTCCTCATTAATCACAAACACACACACACACACACACACACACACACACAAGCTTGTGTCACATCCTGTGTATTTGGGGAATTTTCAGGTTCATGGAGGAAAACCAGTTGAGTTAGTTCAGATGTTCTAGTTGGTCAGTTTCTCCTCCAAACATCATTCTGGATCTTTTCTGTCAAGCTCTGCCTCCATCTCTATTGTATCTTGATTATGCAAATGTTTCCATAGAGACCAGTGAGCAACTGGTGGTATGATTATTAACTCCGCCTCTGCCATTGTCTTAAAGAGACACTACACACCCATCATCAGTCAAAGACACCGAACGTTTACAATCAACAAATGCTTTGTGCAAAGACCAGATCTCTCTCTCTCTCTCTCTCTCTCTCTCTCTCTCTCTCTTTCTCTCTCTCTCTCTCTCTCTCTCAGTTCAGTTCAGTTCAGTTCAACTCTCTCTGTCTGTCTGTCTGTCTCTCTCTCTCTCTACTGACATACGTTAAACATCCACCTTTATGGTTCTGTCAGATCATTTTATTGTTATTTATCGTTTTATTATAAAAGTGCACAAGTCAGTGTTTTAATTTCAAGTATGGGGACACAAAGCTAGAATACGACAAACTGATGCGTTAAACATCAGATGTGATCATGTGGCTGTGTGTGTGTGTGTGTGTGTGTGTGTGTGTATGTATGTGTATGTGTGTGTGTGTGTGTGTGTGTGTATATG